CGTTCAACAGATTCAACTGTTGCGGAGATTCGTGAGTGCTCGCTGCTATTGGACTAAAAGAATACGTCAATAGCTGCGAGTTGAGTTTGTTGAACGTGACCAACTTTCAACGATTAATGGAATTTAAATTTTACACTATATCATTATATTACAATAAAATTTAATTTCTCTTGTCTCATTCACCGGACTCTCTCTCTCTCTCTCTCTCTCTCTCTCTCTCTCTCTCTCTCTCTCTCTCTCTCTTGCGATCTAATCTTATTCTGCATTATCAGTACTATGTCCATACTCATAGACAGATAGGAACCCCTTAATGATGTATAGGTTGCGGAAACATCCTACATAAAAAAAAACAATTGATTTGTTATTTGCATTGACAATTTATTTAACTTATGGAAGAAAAATATATTAGAGATACAAATAATTTTTAAAATTACATATTAACAATTAAATTTTAAATTACGTAAAATAAAATGGCATTGTAATAAATAAATTAAATAACGTTCTTTATTTCTTTAAATATGTATCGATCCAAAATATGAAATTAGAAATTCTTGTAAATGCCTGGATATCTAAACGTGCAGGAAGTACCAAAAAGAAGGAAACAATTCCAATTTGAACTTCTATGGCCATCAATATTCCAGAATCTCTCTGGAATAAAGATGCAATTAATAAAATGCCAGTGTTTATATAGTAAGAAATTGTTTATTGTAAATAATAGTTATAATCAATTCAGTATAGGTGAAAGTGTAATCATATAAAGAAAAGACGATTAAACTTAATATTATAATTTTTAAACTATAATAATATAATTTTATTAATATTTAATTTTATTTATTGTTGTCAAAATGTTTTGTGGATAAACTATTAACTTAATTTCTTGTAAGTTATTTGGAGTGCTTCCCTCAATCTAAAAAGAATTGCATTGTTATATTGATAATAAAAGCAACTGTCACATGACAACAAACGAATTATTATTATCAAAATGTTTTCTCATTTATTACTTTTAACGTGT